GCCTTGTCTTTCTCCCACAGAACAGCTGGTACTTTCGAACTGCTGACCATAAGACTAGCAACCTTATGTATTTAATTATAAGTCCTCATATTTTTCATTAGTTGTAAACTATTCTAGGGAAATTGAAATACTTAAGAACGTAAATAAAATGAGTTCATTGAATAGTATAAAATCAGAACAGAACATGACAAAATTGCCTTGATTTTCCAGGGCTTGCAAACTTTCTGTCTTTGATGGTCTTACCTGTTTTCTACCCCTTGTTTAGAGGGAAATGTTTGAGTTTTCCTCTGGTGGTAGTTTTCCAGTTTCCACCTTACACAGATACCGATTTTGCAGGTTTTGCTTTGTCCATTGAAACCACTGACATATAAACACATCAACAAAGTTGTCTCTGGCTAAGTCTTAAAATAAACCCCGTTATAAGGGCAGCCTCTATTACTCTGTATTTTTATCTTTTTATGTGAAAATTAGTCAGAAAGATAAAAAAATTCATTTCATGAAAACCTTTCTAACTCCTAGGTTAATATTCTCAGGATCTCCAATGAGAAGTAAATAAATAAGTAATACTAATGAACACCATCTCTATTGTAAGATAAAATTACAGTAAGGCATCAAACATGCAGCTTAGTATTCCTGGTTTGATATATCATTTCTTCATTAGTCTTCTCCATCATAGTCATATTCTAACCTATCAATTCATTCAGATGGTAATAATGACAATATTTTTCGGGTATCTTTTAGGAATTCTCTCTTGCTGAGTTGATGCCTTCATGTTCACTAAGAAGATGAAATCATAGCAGTCCCAAATGGAGTTTCTGAGTTTGGGCTGAGGCTTTTTTGTCATATCAAGCTTATAGCACTAAGCAGAAGAAATGAAGGCAACCACCTTTTAGGTTCTCCTCCTGTGTTTAGAGAACATTATTAACATATGAAGTAGAAAGATGGGCTGTGATTCTTGTTTTAGGCAGAGGACTGCTAATTGTATATCATCTGAAGTATAAAGAAGAAAGCAGAATGATACTGGCAGCCCTTCAAGTCTCCTCTGCCTAGATGAAGAGAGAAGAGCTGCTTGGTCCTAAGCTCTCCACGCGTGGGAGCATGCTGCTTTCTGTAGTGTATCCTTTATAACATACGATACTTGAGCTTGTGGGAGTTCTCTTTGCCCACGCACCAAATCCTCAGTGAATCAGCTTCACTCTTTTTCACACATACAATTAAGTCTTCATTTCCTTGATACAAATGCTGTTTGTTGTTAGATGCCATCGAGTCAGTTCCAACTGACAGCAACTCTACGCACAACAGAATGAGTCACTGCCCATGCCCACAGTTGTTAGGTTGAGTCCACCAACTTGCTGGGGTCCTTTATTCTGGCTCTTCACTTGACCAAACACAATGTCTTTTTCCAAAGACTGGTCCTTCCTGACAACATATCCAAAGTATGAAAGATCAACCTCACTTCTCAGGAGTATTCCGGCTATACTGCTTCCAAAACAGATTGGTTTGTTTTCTGGCAATTTCTTTCAGTATTATTCACCAAAACCATAATTCAAGTGCATCAATTCTTCTGCTGTTTTCCTTATCCATTGTCGAGCGTTCACATGCATATGAGACCATTGGAAATACCATGACTTGGGTCAGGTGCACCGTAGTCTTCAGAGTCTGCAGCGTAGTCTTCAGTAGGGCTTCAGAGTCACTTCTTTTCAGGTTTGCTTAATGCAGTATACCATTTGATTTCTTCCCTGCTGCTTCCATGAGGGTTCATTGTGGATGTAAGCAAAATGAAGTCTTTGGCCACCTTATTTTTTTGTTCTATTTATAATAATGTTATTTATTGATTCGGTTGTGAGCATTTTTGTTGTCTTTACACTGAGGTGCAGTCCATACTTAAGTCTTTGATTTTTGTCAAAGCAAGGTTGAGTCATTTGCATATTTCAGGTTGTTAATGAGTCTTGCTCCAATCTTGATGCCACGTTCTTCATATAATCTAGTTTCTCAGATTATTTGCACAGCATACAGATTGAATAAGTATTGAAATGATACAACCCTGGCATATACCTTTCCTGATTTTAAACTATTAGTTATTCCCTTTTTTGTTGATTTATCGGGGGATCTTCAAATCATTACGCAAAAAGACAGCCCCATAGAGAAAATAGCAATGGACAGCTGAAGAAAAAATACTGAAAATAACCAGTAAACATGAAAAGAAATGAAACTGAAACCATCATTTTAAAAAAATCCAAATTAGTTGCGATTTTCCACCTGCCAGGTTGGATGAAATTAAATGTTTGGAAAACCCAGTGTTAAAGAGGATACGAAAAAAATTGTTGTTAATGTTATATATCGTCAACATTTATGAGAGGTAAATTGGCAGTATTTATCAAAATAATGTAATGCACATACAGCTTGACCACCAATTCCATAGATATACAAAGATATAATCACAGCATTACTTATAATAACCTAAAATGGAGTTTACAGTAGCACTCTCCTTTGTTTATTGAACCTGCAAAATAAGATGCAGCATTTATTCAATAAAAGTATGGGCAAATAGCAAGAATAACGTGACTCTGTTTGTATAAAACAAACAAAAAAGAAAAGCAAGGATAAAAGGATGCTATATATACATGCATATGAAAAGTACATATTTTGAAAATTTTACAGCAGTTTTGGAAAGAGGGACTGAAAAACAGACATTGGGGAGAGAAGAAGACCTTTAATTTAGAAATTAAAAAATATGTAATTTTGAATTCATGAAAAATTCTGTGTGTAAAAGCTAGTACATTAGGTATGTAAAGAGACATTGTATGGACAACATTGTGAAGTGAGAGTATTTTGGAGCACTTAATTTTGGAACCTGTACATAGACCAAGAGGCAGTTATTCGAACAGAACAAGGGAACACCGAATAGTTAAGGGTATGCGTCAAGGTTGTATTCTTTCACCATATTTATTCAACATGTATGCTGAGCAAATAATCCAAGACACTGGATTATATGAAGAAAAACATGTCATCAGGATTGGTGGAAGACTCATTAACAACCTGCAATATGTGGACGATACAACCTTGCTTGTTGAAGCAAAGAAGACTTAAAATACTTACTGATGAAGATCAAAAACCACCGCCTTTGGTATGGGTTGCATCTCAATGTAAAAAAAAAAAAATTCTCACCACTGGACCAATAAACACCATCCATATAAATGGAGAAATGATTGAAGTTGTCAAAGACTTCATTTTGCTGGATCAACCATCAACACTCGTGGAAGCAGCAGTCAAGAAATCAAATGGCATATTGCATTAGGCAAATCTGCTGCACAAGACCTTTTTAAAGTGTTGAAGAACAAAGACGTCAGCTTGAGGACTAAAGTGCGCCTGACCCAAGCCATGGTATTTTCAAAAACCTCATATGGATGTGAAAGCTGGACAGTGAAGCTGGACCATAGAAGAATTAATGCATTTGAGTTATGGTGTTGGAGGAGAATATTGAAAGTACCATGGACTGCCAAAAGAACAAATAGATCTATGTTGGATAAAGTACAGCTAGACTGCTCCTTGGAAGCCAGGGTGGCCAAACGTCTCTCATACTGTAGACATATTATCAGGAAGGCCCAACCACTGGAGAAGGACATCATGTTTGGTAAAGTGGAGGGATGGAGAAAAAAGAGGAAGACCCCCAATGAGACTGATTGGCACAGTGGTGATAGCAATGGGCTCAGGAGTATCAACAATTATGAGATGGACCCAGGACTGGTCAGTGTTTCGTTCTGTTGTGCATAGGGTTGCTATGAGTTGGTATCAATTTGATGGCACCTAACAACAACAAGAGACAATGATAAACCATCTAAATAATTCATATAATTTCTCTTCCCCAACCTGTACACACTCCTTCTTCCCCTACTTCATCTCCATCCATAATAATACTCTTCCTGAATTCTAGCTGAGGATCTTCACTTTTCCTGAGGAGACTGCTGTCCAGAGAGAAGACAGATACTAATGAACACTACATGGCAGTACATTGACAATAGAGGGAAACCCCAAAGACCCTACCTAATACTGAAAACAAAAGGTCACATTGCTAAAACCATGCTATTCAACGGTGATTTCATTTATCCATTTAAATAACTTGGATAAAAGTAATGATCTTTTCCTAAAAATAATTTGATTTGGACCACCTGGGTAATCATCCGAATTGCCTGTTTTCCCTCCAAGGACAACTCAGGACAACACAGTGGACTGTCTTTAGCCGTTTTATCCAGCAGTCATATCCAGCACTCCATTATGAACAGTTGTTAAGTGCCTTTGAGGGAAAACAAACAAAAAGTTATTAAATTTCTTTAAAACTCTTTTCCTTTTAGCCTTTAGGGCTACAGAGCTGTCCTCATTTCCATGGTTAGCATGAGGACGGAGGCTTTAGGATATGAATGGTGTTCTCTTTGAAGTAGAGTTTTGTCCTCTTTACATTGCCCTGGACATGCCCATGTTCCACCAGTACCCAGGAAGTGCATTTTCACATCTGGATGGAGTTACAAAGCAGCTCTCACTTTTTCTACTCATGTTTTCCTGTTGCCCAACAGTTTAAATGTACCCAGTGGAATTTTACTTGGTTTTTGTTTAAAATATTTCATACAGTTGTTTCTAACTTTGAGGCACATCAGTTTTTAAATAAATTGTTTTAAATACAGGTATTATTTAAAGATTTAATATAGAATTTAATTGTTTGAAGTTTCTTGCTTTTTTTTTTTTTCTCCCCAGAGGATTTTGAGTGTTAAATTTGCCCCTTATTTCTACCTTAGTGGCGGCCTCCTCAGTACTCTGTTTGGGATTCTGGGGGTCATATCCCAGAGAACCCTATGCCAAGTTATAACTTTTTTATCAGTTTCCAAGCACAGTTGAGTGAGATGGTTTTCAACTTTATTTCTATTTTTTTGTTGACACCAAAGTCCTGTATCTGCATTTTTTTTTCCTTCTAAGTTCTCTGAAGTGACCATGCTCATTTCTTTCAGATGGAGACTATTTCACCTTTACAAGACATGAACCCATCGGAGTGTGCGGACAGATCATCCCCGTGAGTGTATCTCCTCTCGCCTCATATTTATTTTCATTTGAATCAGTTCTCTTAAAGACACATAAAACATGGACTTCAGTGATGTGTGTTTTCCATTACTGGAAAGAAGAAAAAGAACTGAGCTCATGTTGTTGACATATCTTTAACAGCCTCCCTGCACATGCTTATTTGAACAGGTTAATAGGGTTTCAGCTTTGTTACCAGGAGTTGAGTTCTCAAGTCATGGAATTCTCATGATTCAAATAAGCAAAGCACAGCACAGCACAATGTATTAATAACCTGCACTTGGTTATGGATGTCCATTCTGCTTATGGAAAATGAATGCTTTGTTATGTTTTCTTGTTTATTTCTCAGAACTATGACTCACCATCTTTCCAGGCATATTATTTTATATGGTCTTTTAATCCCATTCTTTCCCACTGTTTCTTTTCACAAGAATCAAGATAGAAGATGCTATGAAGACACAGCAGTACTATTAACGTCACGCTCATAATTGAAACCATGCCGGGCTGTTGTGCATCTTGTAAAGGGAAATAGATGCAGGGCTTCGTGTTTGAGTTGGAACATTAAATGTTGTCTTTTTTTCTTTCTCGTGCACACCCTTGGCACTATACAAAATATCAATGAATCTTTTAAAAGTACTAGATAACAGTTCTGGCAGGGATTTCAAGGTAGACTCAAATGAAACTCTGACAGTATAGAGCAAGAAGTGTTCTTTTTCCAAAATCTAGGAGAATAATTCAAGATAATCTTGGGTGGTGGTTAACAAAGATCTGGGGTTGGTATTAATAGCTTTTATTTGATCCATAAGCCCCGAGTTGACTATGAATTTATTAGAGAATTGGAAAGTAAAGTAAGAGGTGTGGTTTCAGTTCTTGTACTCCTAAACCATTCAGAAACTTCTATTTGGGTCAGGGCAGAGGTGAGATTCCATTACCTCAATTCTAAGGACTCAAACCTGCTCGCCTTACCCTTCTCCAGACTCTGGAAGCTACAGCTCTCACTGACAGGGCAAGAGCTGCTTGTCAGCCAGCTCCAGCTCAATTACTGGGCTCTAAGATTTATATACTGTAGATGGAATTAAAACATCACTGTGGACTCCCAAGTTTATAAACAACTAAGGGGAAAAGAAATTGGGTGTTTGGTGAAGGCAAGACACTTGTATATTTTTGCAAGCTTGCCAGGGCCAGCAAGAGGCCTTCAAGGATGGCAGCTGAGATGCTTCAGGCAGAAACACATTGTGGTCAGGAACTGAGGGCCTGGGGACCAAGATTTCTGTTTTCTTTCTTAATGAAATTATCAGTGACACCTGATAGTACTGAGACTCATGCCTCAACTTATGACAATGCAAGCTTAATGTCTTTTTGAAGACAGTTTAAGCATTTTTAGGCATAAAACTCATATACTCACATAAATGTTAGACTCTACTAGCTTATTTGCAGTGGAAAAGAGAGAAACTAAACATTTCTGCATAGTTATCGGTTGATGCACTTTATATTGGTAACCATGTACATTTTGTGACATTAAAACCCCCAAACCAAACTCGTTGCCATCAAGTTGACTGTGGCTCCTATAGAGGGTTTCCAAGAGGATAATCTTTACAGAAGCACACTGCCTTGTCTTTATCCGCTGGAGTGACTGGTGGGCACACACCACTGTCCTTCTGCTTGGCAGCTGAGCACTTAACCGCTGCATCGCCAGGTTTCCTCTGTGATAAGACCTGTGTATAAGGAAAAGGCAATACCTTAGTATTAATTCTCTACTCAGATTTTCTCTTCTGGTTTTTCTGCCTTGAAGAGCTTTCATACCAGAGTGAAGATTCTGGTTTAAAAATACCAAATGTAAAAAGAAGTTTTCATATTTAAACACAGAGTCTAATTTTAAAAATATAAAAAACAACAGCAATAAGAAACCAAAATAAAGAAAAAACAAAAACTGCCCTTCACTATGTTGGGTAGCTAGCTAGCTGTCTTAGAATAATTTGCTGAACAGAAAGAAATGGGGAGATATTCAAAGTCAGTGCACTTCCATTTTTAATGGGGTAATTAGAAATCCAAACCTTCTGTCTCTGTGGTGGACCAGATTTATGTTAAGAACTAGTCCAAGAAATTTGAAAAGTCACAGCTTGAAAACAAAGTCGTGGAGGAAATTTTTTTTCCATCTATCAAACTTGGATTTTTTCTTTCAGTGGAACTTCCCCCTGCTGATGTTTGCCTGGAAAATTGCTCCGGCTCTGTGCTGTGGTAACACAGTAGTTATTAAGCCAGCAGAACAAACACCGCTCAGCGCGCTCTACATGGGAGCCCTCATCAAGGAGGTAAGAGAAACTGACTTCAGGAGTGGCTCTGACTCCCTTCTAGTTGGGGCCTATTCGAGCATATCCAGTTTACGTGCTGCATCAGTTTTCACAAGTCATGTTTCCTCCCACTCTGTTTTCTTAGGCTGGATTTCCTCCGGGAGTCATCAATATTTTGCCAGGATATGGGCCAACGGCTGGGGCAGCAATAGCTTCCCATATTGGTATAGACAAGATTGCGTTTACAGGTTCCACAGAGGTAGGTACCTGAGACACCATGAGCTGAGAAATAGTCCTGTGAAGGCACAGAGGGATATGGGCATTGAAATAAAACGGAAAATAACACCCACTAGACAGCTCAGTAGCAGTGAGTCTCTAAGCCTTCAAAAGACAACACTGGCATCATAGAACACAGGTCAATTAATTAATTTTTTTTTAACACAGCTTAATTTTAAGACAAAGGCGCATGTTGATTTCACAGATCTCTAAGCATTTTTGTAACACCATCTGTATAAAAACCGTCTCAGAAGAGACTGTCCATGTCCAGATAACTTTTCTTTTAAGGACAATAATGGCAGAAACAAGAAATCCAAACTAGTCTCTCCCTTCTCATTATTTGGTAACGAACTATTTATTCCCTATGAGCCTGAGGCATGATAGAGAGGAGAGGTCAGCAAAGTTTTTCTGTAAAGGTTTTATGGGCAAGACAGTCTCTGTTGCAACTACTCTACTCTATCCATGTTCCACAAAAGGAGCCATCGACAGTACATGAACTAATGAGCATAGCTGTACTCAAACGCAGTTTTACTAATGGGCATTTAAAATGGAACTGCATATAATTTTCATGCATCACAAAATATTCTTGTCATTCGTTCCCCTCTCCCACTGTTTGAAAACATGTATATGCTGACCTTGCAGCTCGCAGCCCGATTCATAACCACTATGCTACCAGAGCTCCGTAGACTGTACTGAAATAAGACACAGGGTCAAATTTGATCCATAGGCCACAGTTTGCTAACCCCTGATAGTCTGCTTAGAAATATTGCTTATAAAATGTCACTCCATGATGTGGTGGTGGTGGTGGTGTGTCGTGGAGTCAGTCACAACTCATAGCGACCCTGAGAAACGGCTGGTAGTTTCAAACTGTTGTGAACATCTGATTGATTGTTTTAGGTCAAACCTCTATATGACTTCACCATTGATCAAAGAATGTTGCCAGGTATACAACAGTACTGTCAAAAAGAAAGAGGAGAGTCATATATGTTATTGAAAATTTGCCATAATGAAAAATGGAGATACAAGTGAAATTAACTTTAATAACGTTTTGTTTACTCTGTTTCTAAAATATTGCCTTTTTAACATATAATCAATGTAAAGATATTAGTATGCTATTTTGCATTCTCTTTTCACATGAAGTCTGAAACATAGTGTGTATTTTACATTTACATTTTACATTTATAGCAACTCAGACTAGCCATATTGTGAATGCTTTGTAGCCACAAGTAGCTAGTGGCTGTCATATTGGACAGTGTAAGTCTAGAGACTGGAATTTACTAGTTGATTCAGAGTTCATGGTACTTGGTTTAAAAACTCATAAGCTAATTGATTAATGTACTTTAATGTCAATTTTTATAAACTTATAATTAGAGTGCTGAGTTTTAATATCTGTCGAGAGTTACTCTTGTTTGTTACGCAGCCTTATTCCTATTGCATTTGTTATAGTAATTCTGTGATTTATTGAATTATATAAACTGAAATATAAGTGAGAAAAGGGAATTGTTGTTTCTATATAAAATAAGTCAGATGCATTTAAAAGACTTGTTAAAGTCTAGATGTAAAAGATGGTGGTAAAATTTAAATCTTTGCAAACAAACACTTTAAAGAAATAAAAAACTAGAAATCTTAAGCACTATTTTGTAATTGCGGTATAATCAGAAATGACAATGTGGTACACCCATATTTATTAAAGATGTCTTTCACCCAGTATCACGACATTAGAAGATGAATGCACATATTTATGTTTAATATTAAAATGAAATATTTACAGTGTGATTCTCTGCATGAACCCTCTTTGTTAGTCAACTAAACAATGACCACTACTGAGTCAGTTCAGATAATTCTAATGTTTAATTTTTAATTAAAACGGGAACATAAAATATATGACGGACAACAAGTCATATCAATACCTATATGGTGGTGGTGGTGGTTGTGTGCTGTGGAGTCAGTTCCAACTCATAGTGACCCTATACAGGGTTTCTGAGGCTGTAAATCTTTACGAAAGTGGAAAGCCTCATCTTTGTCCTTTGGAACAGCTGGTATTTTCGAACTGCTGACCTTGAGGTTCGCAGCCCAATTCGTAACCACTACGCTACCAGACAGAGCTCCTTAATACCTATGTGAGGGAGCTTTTAAAAATGTGTGGAAATTTTCCATTATCTTTTTATTCAATTTTTCCACAAACTAGTTGAAATCCTCTTGCATCTCTCTGTCATTTTTTAATGGCTATGTAGAATAGGGCTGCATCAGATATCATAGTTTATTAAAGTAATTTTCTGCCAGTGGGAATGTCAGAGGTTTTTTTTACATTTTTTCCTGTTAAGCAGACTTCTTGTTGTTAAGTACTGTAGAGTTGGTTCCGACCCATAACAACCCAGTATAGGGTTTCCGATGAGCATCTGGTGAGCTTGAACCACCAACCTTATGGTTTAAACTGACTTGGCAGCCCAGTGCATTAACCCACAGTGCCACACTGGACTACTGAAATAAAAATCCTTCAAGTATATATATACACACATATATGCTATTCAGATATTCATTTGGAGAAGTTTCTAGAGGTGTTACTGCCAAATAAAAGGGCATTTATACTTTTAACTTGCTCACCAAGAATGCGTTTGAGTGATGGTTTGATTCCCAAGATCTGTTTATGTACTAATTAAGTATGTCAATCTTTTGTCTTACGTTCATCAAAATTTTATTTTTTGGTGAAGAATTTGCAAGTATTATTCCCAGTTTGTTTTCTTGTTTCAGGGGTCTCTTTCTTTATAGTGTTGTTTGCCATGCATAATAAATCCTGGTGTGGCCCTGTGGGATAAAGCACTGGATACAAAGGTCGTTTCTCAATCACAAGGTCGGCAGTTCCAACTCACCAGCCACTCCTTGCGTTCCTATACGGGGTCGCTATGAGTAGCAGCTGACTCAGTGGCATTTAACAACATCCATGCATTAAGAGTTAACTTTATATTATCTTTCAGCCTTTTTCTTAATGACTTCTGAGTTTTATGTTATCCTAAGGAAACTGCCTCAAGATTATACAAATGGTCTTTAATCTTTTCTTTAAGTGTTCTGAAAAGGGCACTTACGTTTAGTACTCTTACGGTTTTGTTTTTGCTTAAATCTTTAATATGGTTGAAATCTATTTATATAATGAAAGAGTAGTTGTATGTTTATTTCTTTATACATGAGTTTCAGCTATTTCAATAGTATTTATTAAATAATTTACCTATTTGTAACTCATTTGAAAATAGTATAATGTTATATGATAAATTTCTAAAGTTTCTGTTTGAAGACTCATATTTGTCCACTCTTTCACCAACGTCCTAGCATGGTGCTATAGGATAAATACTAGACTGCTAACCACAAGGTCAATGGTCCAAACCCACCAGCTGTTCCTTGGAAGTCCAATACAGGGTCGCTATGAGTCAGAACTGACTCAGCAGCTCTTAATAACAATTCTTTCACCAGTACCGGACTACATAATTACTTGGTTTTTATAAGATGCGTTGTGATAACAGTAAGGAAGATAACCTCCTATTTAGCTTTTTCAAAACTTTTTGGCTATTCTTGTACACTTATTTTTTTCTTTCTTTTTTTTTTTTTTTTTTTTTTGCTTAGTGGCTACGTAGAATAGTGTTGTATCAGTATATCATAGTTTATTTAAGTAATCGTCTATTAATGGGCACATTAGAGGTTTTTACATTTTTCCCTGTTAAGCAGACTTGTTGCTAAGTGCCATCAAGTCGGTTCTGAACCATAGTGACCTTGTACAGAGTCTCTGAGGAGCAGCTGGTGAACTTGAACCACCTACCTTGCAGTTCAAACTTTGCAGTCCAGCACATTAACTTACAGCACCACACGTGAATTAACAAGCTAGCTACAGGTGTCAATTTGACAAAGGGGTAGACTGTAATAGTAAGATTTTTGTGTCAACATGACTGCGCCAGGATTCTTAGTGGCTTAACAGTAACATACAGTTTATCACTTCCTTGATGGAATCTAATATAATAAAATCAACCCCATGATATGATTTGATGTGATCAGACCTGATCTTGTGTCATTATCCAAAGTGCCCAGAGGCACCCACTCCACCAGGAAGCCGTATGCATGAAGGTGCCCAGCTCTCCTGCTCTATGGGTCATTGCTGTGCCTTCTTGTGCTGATACCCTGGTTCTGCTGCTGCAGTCTCTCTGCCACTGCTGCTTACCATCTGTGCCATCTCCAGGGCTACAGGTCTCATCACTTCTTCTGAGTCCTCATCAGAATTGTTTTTGATGTCCATAATTCCACCAATAGTTTCTTCTAGGCACTCTAAAGTTTTATTGTTAGGCAGCTTGATACTCTTCAAGCCTTTGTTCATTATCCAATCCCAAAACTGCTTCCACATTTTAAGTACCTGTTAGAATAGCATCCGAATCTCTTGGTACCAAATTCTGTCTTAGTGCTGTAGTGCTGCTGTAACAGAAATACCACAAATGGATGCCTTCAACAACCAGAAATGTATTCTCTTATAGTTTAGGAGGCTAGAAGTCCAAATTCAGAGCGTCATCTCATAAGAAAGGAAAGGTCTTTGTCTTCTTTCAGCATCTGTAGGTCCAACATTCCTTGGAGGTATCCATGTGTCTTGGCACCTGTCTTTCCTTAGGAGCTTCCCAGTGCAGGAAAAGATACAACTTAATCCTGTAAATGCATCCAACTTCATTAATATCACAGAAATGAGAAAGTTCAATACTTTGGAAAATTATATCAGGTTAGGGTGGATCACATCAGATCATATCATGGGACTGATTGTGTCATGTAAGATTTCATCATGGAGGTAATAACTATATCTTAACTTCTTATCCACTGAGAATCCTGGCCCAGCCAAGTTGACATAAAATCGTAACTATCACATAGGTCTTACAAATTTCTTGTTAAATTCATTTCTAAGGATGTAACATTTTCGAGTTAGATTGAATAGATGGAGCATAATCTTCCAAGCCAAGC